ATATTTACATAGACATAATATCTAAATGAATATCAAACAATATTGTCAAGAATAGATCCTATGAGTCTTATCTTAGTGAATAAAGACTTATCATCAGTAATTAGTATGCTGATTAGTTGTATAGAGACAGATCTTGCTAAAGTAAGTTTTAGACACCTAAGCACATTTAAAACACCAAAGTATTTTAATGACTACACCCATGCAAACATTAACACACACACACACACACACACACACACACACACACAAGCATTTCTTGTTTGTCATTTTAATTTGCTAAAAACATATTTTTATTAATACTAGAAATCAGCATAGTCTGAATCATCACAAATTCTGAAAAAGTGAAGTTTGAATGAATCAGGTTTCATTATATAAGAGAAATATAATCAAGAAGGAAATAAACATCTTTGAAATAAAAAATACAAATCAAAAAAAGAAAATGAAATCATATAAAATGGAAATTAAAATAGATTACCTTTAGGCTAAGCAGATAAAACTATATAACATGCCTGAAAATATTATGAATTAAAAATATTTACATGTCAGCTATGCAAATAAACTGAGAAGCCTTCTTAAATAAATATAAGAATGATAGTGTAATAATATCTAAATCTTTTCACTTGCCTTTTTTTTTTGCTTGCAATTGCTGGAGAGAAAACAACAATTTAAAGGCAAAAATAATATACAAAAACATCACAATATTTGAAAAAAGACACCATGATCATTTTATTTTGCTACCTTTAGACCCCATTTTTAAGTTATAAATGGAAGAAAATGATATAAACAAATGTAGAACAAGTTCCATTATCTAGGCAATCTTAGCAGGATTCAAAAGGGCTTCTCCACACATACAACATTGAAACAGAAAGCATCAGAATCTTTTCAATAGTTATTTTGCCAGTTTTGTGTAAAATTATACACAGCTATATAGCATTACATCTTTCTTTACCAAAAATATTTTGAAAAGTAAGGACCTAAAACCAGAAATTATTGTTAAACATGCAAATAAGCATGTAAGGGAGAAAAAATGGCAATTCCCAACCTGTAACAAACCATATTAAAAATATCAACTGAATTCTTCTAAAATACTTTTAAATAAAATTAAAGCAAGTAAAATTTGTAATGCTTGATAAATATGTCAAATATGAAACTTTCTGATAGCTAAGTGGAGAATTGATTTTATTTCTATCTTTGCTAATGGAGGAGTTTAGTAGCATGTCTAATCCAAAATAATGTGTAATCCCAGAATTATTTCTACTTGGCTCTACAGAGCATTTTTCTCACTATATTTGAGTAGGATATTCTTTGGCATATGAAATAAATTCATGTAAACTAACAAGAAGAATCGCTGTAGAGCTGGGCAGATTCCTCCTCTTACCCGATTAGTGATTTTTCTACTATCTGTCATTTAAACAGAAGTGCTCTTGCAATTACACAGTCAATCCTTTACTTATATTTATTTTTTTGAAGTATTAAAAATAGAGTATTTATTCACACTTTTGACTACTGTTAAATAGACACTTTACGACTCTGGTTTATATTTGTTTCCAGCCCTTGGTCATTATTATCCTTATTTCAGATGCTCATATTTCTATCAGAAAGAAATTTCAATAGATTTCAGTATGTTTTCTTTTTTCCTAACAGTTAAATTTTTTTCTCAAAAAATAAGATATTTTAGTCCGGTCAGTGTGGCTCAGTGGTTGATCGTCCATGAACCAGGAGGTCACTATTTGAATCCCAGTCAGGACACATGCCCGGGTTTCAGACTCCATCCTCAGTAAGGAACATGCAGGAGGCAGCCGATCAATGGCTCTCTCTCATCATTGGTGTTTTTCTCTCTCTTCTCCCTCTCCCTTCCTTTCTTTGAAATCAATAAAAACATATAAAAAATAAGATGTTTTAAAGCCTGAATATTATTTTTGAAATACTTATTCAAATCATGGACTATATTCATAAACAAGAATTTGCATAGGATAAGAGTGTACTCCACAGAAATTTTAAATAAAGGTCTTATTATCTCACAATCAATTATGTACCTCATTTTCTATCGCATTGCTTTCATTTCAATAAAATATTTAAACACATGAATGAAAGTGCAATAATTTAACCTGACATCTGGCTATTTCATCAATGCAATGTTTTTATACTTGGATATGCCTGAATTGTTCATTTTCTTTTTTTAAAAATTTATCTTTACTGTTGAAAGTATTACAGATGTCCTCTTTTTTATTCCCATTGACCCCCTCCACCCTACACTCACCTCCCAACCCAGGCCTTCACTGCACTATTGTCTATGTCCATAAATTATGCATATATGCATATAAATTATTTAATCTCTCCCCACACCCCACCCCACCTTATCTTTATCATTTCATTCTAAACACAAGCAAAGGGTTAAAAATTGAAGAGTTTTGTTTCAGTGGCTCTCACTGTGGTAAATCCAAGTTGTGGGAGGGAAAGTTAAGGCTGTAATCCAAGGAAGGTGGCTCCCCTGTCTGCTAGGGGACAAAGCAAATATGCCAAGTAAAGTGAAAGGAGATGAAAGCCTCACACTGGCTTTTTACATGCACTATAAGACAACATGATGATGAAGAAAGAGTTTTGGCTCTGGAGTTAAAAGACCTGGGTTTGAAACCCAGTTCTGCCACTCAATTGCTTTGTGATCATAAACAATTAAACTCACTGAACCATAAATTTTTACTTAATATGCTTCTTTTTTACAGCTGCAGGTGAGGGCCTGGGGTGGGGAATGGGGAGGGGAGTAAAGAGTGAAATGGGGGACATATGTAATACTCCCAACAATTAAAAAAAGGAATGGAATCAGTTTAAAAGAAAAAAATAGCTTAGGCAAATTTTTTTTTAACTTGAAAAATAAAGATAATATTCATAAGGCTACTATGAGATTAAATGAAATATACACAAAACACTTATCATCCATGCCTGGTACATAATAGTAACTCAATATTCCTTAACAGGTTTTCCTCAACAGATAATAAAGTTTACTCAATAATATATTACCTTCAAGGCAATTTTTAAATTCTATTTTTTCTCATGTATATACTCCCTCAAAATCTGGACACCTATCTGATTATTTACAAAGTACTGTTTCTAGGCTCTGTCAATGTATTTTAGAAGTCAAAAAATAGGTTATCATTTATTGAACACCAAGATGCATTTCTGGCACTGTTATTCCCTCTATATTAATTTATATACACAGGGCTACTTTCTTCTTATATTATAATTCATTTATAAGTACTTAAAATACACAAAAATCATTATTTAACCCCCAAAGCCTGAGTTTCTTTCTAAATTCTCTATCTTAGCTAATGACACCAGCTTGTCACCACACTAGACATGAATCATCCTAGACTTCATCCTCTCATCCTATATTTTGATCAATTATCAAGTGTGATTAATGCTAATTACTAAAACACTCTGAAACTTTTTTCCACTACATTGAATTATCTCTAGCTCAGGTCCCCAGTATTTCTGCCTTTAACTATAGCAACTGATCCCCTTCCTATTATTGCTTTCATTGCAATTTAGCCTCTACACCAATTGTTTTTAGAACATTTACTCAGTTACTTTAGCAGTGGTTCCGTTTACTTAGAGCAGCTTTTTATTTATTTAAAGGAAATCCTATATGAATTAGAACATGTAAAATTCTAACTGAGGCAGAAGTGGGGAACCTGGAAGTTTTTCCTCAATTCCATGTCAGCCAGTAAGACACTTTGGAAACCAGTGATCTATATGAAAAACCTTGGATGGCTAAACACTATAAATGAAAGGCTAGCTTCACAATTTGTCTTTTCTCACCCTTTCTATTCTAACCATATCACCTATGAGTCTCAGACCTAAAATCTCTGTTCCAGTATCTTCAACTTAATTGTCATTTCCCCTAGCACACCAAGCTATTTCTCATCAATTTATATCTGTCAATATTCTTCTCTCTGCCTGTAATTTTTTCCCTTTTATTATCCATTTGTCTAACATTCATCCTATAAGATATAGCTCAACAGCTCCCATCCTTCTGAATATTACCCAATTTACTAAATTGATTTAATTGTTCCCATTTCTGTGATCTCATAGTGCCTTGTATATACTTGTGTTATAACCCTTACCTCAATTTAAAGCAATTATTAGTTTACATGCTCTTCTTCCTAATTCTACTGTGACAAGGACTGCTACTCATAATTTTACATTATCTATTACCTAATACACAATATATAGTAAGTGCTTTATAAATTTTGTATCATTTAATTTATAAAGATCTCATCATAAAATTCAGTTTCTACTATATAATAGCTTTCATGCTTTTTAAGAATTTAATTAAAGAAATATTAAGCTTAAGTGTTCATACACTTTTAAGTTATTGTTTAGAAAATCAAAACAGTGCAATGCTAATTTATGAGACATATTTTTAAGGGAACACTGTTTATCATAGTGTTCAATGAAAAATACTGGATTTAAAGCAGTGACAACTTGCACTTTCTTCTCTTCTAATAATAAGGTTTCTCTACCAGAGATGGATCTTTTTTCTACTTTTTAACCTGGAGTAATAACTTGTACAAGATACACAGATGCCCAGACCCTTAAAAACAAACAAACAAAAAATATTACCAATACATATAAGTAAACAGGTGCACTGCATCAAATCCCAGGAGAACTTGAGACAATGCTAGTTTGGCCAAAGTACCTCCCCCTAGTTCCTTCTCTCAACATACAAAAACATACGTACATATATACATACATGCATACACAAAATAAAGTTTTGAAAGGAATTTTCTGCAATAAAATGACTTTAAAAAAAATCATAACCATTTGATTTGAGTCACTAGAATAACAAAACTGTTTACCTGAATACTCAAAAAATTCAATAGCATAACCTCTAGTAGAGCTTGAAAAGCTCTGAAGGACAAAGCAGTTAGATCAATATTAGTTTATTTCAAATGCTGCTCAGTATAAAGAAACAAGGCTGATCATGGGATGGATTTTATTACCTGTAGGAGTGATAAGTCCTGGTGATAAGAGGCCTGGAACTGAATGGGGCAGAAGGCGAGCATTATCTTGCAAGACTCCCAAAGAACGTTTAGGAGGCCTGCCAGGCCTTGAACTGTTGAAAAACAGACAAAGATCAGGTTAAAAATGTACAACTATTTGGAAATAAAATCACTTGCTGCATTTGCTTCCTAAATCTTGTTTAATTGCCTAGACTGATAGAATTTTATATTAAAGACTATGTTCATTGATTACTAAAAGACCAATATTTTCCTTCTCACTAAATTTGCCAACATATGGCAAACATTAAAACCATAAAAAATCAATTTCTAGTTTAGATTCCATTTACAAGCTAGCACTTTGCAATACAGTTTACCTGTTGTGAGAAACCCAGTTACCCCCTGCTGTTAAAGCTACACTTGGTCCCTGGTATTAATACGTGGTACTGAGATATGAGATAGTGACTCACAGAATTAAAATTGTACAGAATGTGAAGTGACTAAGTCTCTGCCCAACATGCCAGAGGTGAAAGCAAAAAGCTGAGAGATATAGAGTAAAATCTGATGTTTATTAACATTTCTACAACTACCAGAAACTACAAGGAACAAAGGACCCCCACCCTCAGTAGGTGTTTTCCTACTTTTTAAAACCAGACTGTATAACTAGCAATACACTCTCTTGGAGTGGCTGTACTAACAAACCACCTTTGCAATCTAGGTTGACTAACTACCACCTTTGCAATCTAGGCTGTCTTCTTTCACAGATTGATTGGTGTTTTTAACTGATGAGTTGAGGCTAAACTTATAACATTAACCTAACATATTCCATTTGCACATTCTTCACCCTAGTGTGAACAGTTCAGGAATTGCAGTTGCAAATATTAATCCATAAAATAATGAAATAGAAAGTCAGTACATGGGCTTCATCTTATACCCTAATACAGTCAGTGTACTGAATACATCATTTGTAAGCTGTTGCTACAATGAAGAGACACATAAGTCATTAAACATTAAGATCAAGTCATTCTCAAGTCACCCAATATATTTCAAATATGACTTTCTAATGTTGCCTAAAGCACTACTGTTGCTTTTTAGTAAAAATGCAGTTTACAAAGCTGCATTTGAACAAAATGAAGCTTTTTACAAAATACTATATTACATAACTTAAGCCATAAAAACATATGAGGTTCAGATAGAGAACATTTCCAAAAATGACATTTGGTTCACAAAGAAATTTAAGTTCAACCTCACTCTATCAACTTTGCAGTAGCAAAGTGCTCCATCAATGTAAGAGAAACTCTGCTTTTAAATGAAGACAACTTTTAGCAACCTTACACAGAGGTACCATTACACAGTTCATTTTTCATATACATCTGATGTTATTTTTTTTCATTGTACATCAATATTGCATATATCAGTCTAGCACAAAGGGTCTGTTTTTCCCATTTAATGTTTCAATTTTATAAACTGACTCTTCCTCTTTCTATTCGATTTTGGGCCATAATTTATTTTATTTAATTCAGTGTTGTTATCATTTGTCCTTGCCCTATTTTATGGCTCTCTGACTTTTTTAAAAAAAATTTATGTTTACTGTTAAAAGTATTACATATGTCACCTTTTTCCCCCCCATTGACCCCTTCTCTCCCCACCACCACCCAAGCCTTCACCACACTATTATCTACACCCATGGCTTATGCATATATGCATATAAGTTCTTTGGTTAATCTTTCCCCACCCATTCCCCCACACCCACCTTTCCTCTGAGATTTGTCAGTCTGCTCCATGCTTCTGGATCTATTTTGTTTATCAGCTTATTTTGTTCATTAGATTCCACATATGAATGAGATCATGTGATATTTGTCTTTCTCTGACTAGCTTATTTTGTTTAGCATAATACTCTCCAGGTCCCTCCATGCTGTCTCAAGGGGTAAGAGATGGCTCCCTAACTCTCTTAAAGACTAGTGATAAGAGAAATATGCTATTTACTTCTAAAACCCAAAAGGATCCCAAAATCCCTGAACAATATTCATCGGGGTATATCCAGTTATTAGAAGACGGCATGTTAACTTTTTAAATAATCTTCACCAAATCTGTACTTTTAAAATGCTTCTTTATGTCTTTCTATTTGTCAGAACTCAAGCCTACTAACTTTATTCAAGTCCACAAGATTTCTTCTTGTACTTTTCCAGTGTAAAAATGTCAGTGCTGTCTTCATGCTCATGATCACTTTCAGATGGGCCGTATCCAGAAGTAAGCAGTCTGGTGCTTCTTCTACTTCCATATGATAAGCCAGCCATTGACAGTACACTTTGAAAGCTATACAGTTTAAATAGTTCTCTTCCAAATTTCTTGATCCATCTCACTGTTTGAAATAGCTCTTTTCCAATAAGCTGACTCAGCTTAGGAGGCATTGGAGGCCTCTTAGTCTGATGGTCTACCTTAAATATCAATATTTGAAAATGTTGATCAAATTTCCCACCATCAGATTTATATTGGAAAAATTCATGGCTTAGGTCACAAATGGCTTCATAGTATTTATACTGTGCCATAAACCAGGAAGTCCATATTCTCCATCATAACATTCTTTTCAGTGTATAATTTTTTGATGTTGATATGATTGTGAGCTTTCCCAACTAGAATGTAAGTCTAATGAAGACAGCTTATTATTTCTGGTTTTGTCACTGTATCTTAAGCAATTCATATAGTATCTAGCACACTGTAGGGTTCAGTAAATGGTTAATGAAATCATTTCATTAATAATGACAGGAAATATTATTTTACTGTTGTTACAATTTCCAAATATTCCTCAGATTGCTCTACTCTCTTTGACCATATGAATCTCAAGCTAGTTGCATTATTTAGTTGTCAAATAATCACTTTTTAAGTTTTGGACTCTACAGCCATTATACAACCTTCAAAAGATGATCCATTCAAACCTGACTATGCACAAAGTTAACAAAAGGTAGATACCACTGTCTTATGTTTGAGAAGTCCCACAAGCTTCAACATTTGCTCAAGGATTAAAGTCCCTGGAGTTATACATATACAGTGACAATATCATTAATTCAGTCATTCAGTCAACAGACATGCACTAAGTGTCCATTCAGTATATGCCTGATGTTGGAACTAGGTATGAGGGTGACAAAGGTTAAAATGTAAGCTTGACAAGGTCAAGGGTTTTGATCTGTTTGCTGTTTGATATATTGTGAGGACTTACAACAGTTTCTGCTTTTGAGGGGCTTATGGTCTAGTGATAGAGATATGTGTTTGACCTGTTACTTTAAATTTATGATTAACTCTTTAGTGAATATGATTGTGTGATATCTACTTCTAAACTTGGTTATATCTATCACTGAGCAAAATTCACATTTGAATGCCTTCATTTTTACAAGAAGACTTGGGCCCCTAAAATAAATTAATTAGAATCAAGCTTGTGAAAAAGCAGCATACTAATGTAAGATAGCTTTATTTTTATTTTTAGACCTAATGATCCTCTGTAATAAGATATTCTTAGCACTAAAGTTTCTGCATTTCCTTTCAAAGAACATAAGCCTGACAATATGATGAAAGGCTATAGAGAACTGCATAGAAAGTCGGTAAAGATCTTCTTGATAGATGATCCTGCCATACTTCTTATCTTTAAGAGCTCTATTAACATCAGGCAGATATTTACATATTAATCAAGACAAATAAACATGTGGTGATTTAACAAGGAAACTGGTTTTTAGATGACAATTTAATCAGCATAGATTGAAAGCTCCATCATTGCAGCATCCTGTTTCTGCTAAAATATTTATTGCATTACTGATTTCAGCAATGCTTTATTTTATAGAGTACAAATAACCTTATAATTACTGTTTAATTAAATGATAATTGCTTGTTGGCAATTGTTTTCAATTTAATTACAAGGTTATTTGTACTCTGTAAAATAAAACAGGTATTTTCTTTTAAAATACCCACTCAAATGGCTCAGTGAGCACCACAAATGAAAGTTGTTGAAGTACAAGAAAAACAACCCCATAAAATGACAAAAATTTTATTAAATAATTCAGCTAAATCTTTGAGAGACTCAGCTTTATAGAATTCACTTTGGGTATAACATTTATAGGTTGTTTGGGGTAATATTATTCCAAAGAATCATGATTTTCTCTGGGTCGAAGTTATCTTTAACATAATTTATCTTGATATATATTTTACCCTTCTTTCTGCAAACTTCTTTAGAAGAAATGAAATAATAGCTCAACTTCCTGAGATTAAAGAATAACTCAACTTGAAATATAGTATGTCCACAGCATTTTATATTTCCACAGTTGAAATGAATTACAAAGTGTTACTTGGCCATGTATACACTTTGTAGAGTTGGCAGTTCCCTAAGAAGGAAATTCAGTAGGTCTTCTGTTGTCAACAGGATAATACACATTCTATGATATATTTCTTTGAAGTTGTAACAGCTGATGCTTTGCTCATTAAGATTAAGAAATTTCACTGTTGAAATTATTTTTTTCATGTCATCAGTCATTTGTATATGAATCAAAGAGTAAGTAACTTAGTAAGGTGAGTGATTTTGTTGTTTCAAAGAAAAATGTCTTGTTAGTAAATTCATCAGTGATGTCAGGAGCCTTCAAGATACTTAATATAAATCATATGGTCACACATGATTTAGTGAAGAATCACAAGTCATGTCATCCTCTTTAATGAAAGCTTGGCTTAGCATTTTTTAAAGAAACACTTGTAACGCTCCGGGACAAACTGAACAAATTGCCAAGGATATAGTGGCAGTTAAGGGGAGTATTAACAGCAACTTGTAAAGACCACTGCATTTGGATTCCTACAGTGGGCTGTTAACAATGACCTGGGGTTTACTTTTCAGAGCTATCATTGATATTTAAAATCCCTTGGGACAGTCCCTGAATGTGTCATTTTTTCTATTACATTAGAAGCCATAAAAATAACAAATAACATTAGCTTTGAAGGTGTTGTTTACCTGACTGTAAAAGTGCTACTCTTTAAATGTGCTGTTAAATTCAATAAGAATCTTCTTGAGAGAAAGTTGCCTTTTAATTGCATCATGCATGGGTTAATAATAACCTCTTAGCTCTCGCATTTATTACAACAT